ACCCCCACCCCCACCCTCAACCCACCACGACTTGGCGAAAAATATCCCTTCAACCCAGGGTCGGTTGGTATGAACATGGCTCTCCCAGCCCATCCACCCAATAATTTTGACCAACTTCGCGCTCTACCCCACCCCACTGGCGCTGAAAACCTGCTCATACGTAGTGACAGCTTTCTACACGTTGTCATAAAATACCTTCCCGAGCATTGAGTCATTCGACGTTACAGCAGCACTAAGAAGAGTGCCTATCATTATCTCTGCTTTTCCGGATGAGGGAACCAGATCACAGAGAGGTTAAGGAGCTGCCCCAGGACACATCACCACGTGGTGGCAGGGCTAGGATTTGAACCCAGACAGGCTGGCTTCCAGCTTGTGATTTTTTTTTTTTTCTTTTGCAAAGTATTTGTTAAATCGCGATAATTCGCGTACCATAAAATTCATTCTTTTAAAAAGTGTGTAAGTCAGCGGGTCTTGGTATAGTCATAAAGTTGCGCAACCATCACTGCCATTTAATTCTAGAACATTCTCATCACCCCCAAAAGAAACCCTATACTTCTCATCAGCTCTGTTCCTCCCGCCCCTGAATCCCAATCAACCACTAATCTCCTTTTTGTCTCTATGGATTTGCCTATGCTGGACATTTCATAGAAACGGACTCATACAACATGTGGTCCTTTGCATCTGGCTTAGTGCAATGCTTCAGATTTCAAATCCTTATTGTTATCCTTAGTGCAATGCTTCAGGTTCCAAATCCTTATTGTAGCATTGATCAGTCTTTCATTCCTTTTCACAGCTGCAGAGTATTCCACTGTATGATAGACCACATTTTGCTTATCCTCATCCGCTTGCAACCTTGACTGTGGCCCTGGGTGGCATCCTCCCGGTCTAAGTAGACAGATGCATTCCCCTTGGCCTTGCCTGAGGAAACAGCCTGTGAGAGTAAGGCGGCCACCGCACCCCAGGCACCAGGACAGAAGGGGGCCCTGCCAAGGTGAGGTCCACGCTGGGCCCCCGCTGCATCGTTTCTCTCTGCTCCACTCGGGTTCTTGGCCAGGGCTGCAGTTGCGGCTACACAAGGGTCGCCACTTGTTCTGGAAGTGGCCCGGGCTCCTACTGCAATCCCTTTCCCCAGGAAACCCAGGGAAATGGGTCCACGCAGGAAGGCTGGGGGGTCTCCTTGCAGGTGCCTGAGGACTCACCACACGGAGTTCAGAGCCTGGAGCCCTGGCCTCGGCTGAGTCCCTGCGTGGCCCTACTGGGTGGACCATGAGCCACAGACCGCAGCCTCCAGGCACTAGGTATCCAGGAGCAACCTCGGAAAGAGACTCGCCAGGACTGGGCGGAAAGGGAACCAGGCCTGCGTCCCCTGCTCTGCCGGCCGTCTTCTCACCAGGGCGCCGCGTTCCCTTAGGAGAGAGACCCGCAGTTCTGAGATTGGTCACAAGAGGGAGCCGATCCCCCACATAGGGAAGAGTCAGCATTCGCTGACAGCGACACTGGCTGTCCCTCTCATCTTCACATGGATGAAACAGGGGCTCTTTATCAATGGCTCATGACCCAGGTTTGGTGACCTGCTTAGGTCACGCATGGAGGCCAGGGGACAGCAGTGGGACTCCAGCCATGTAACTCCAGAGAATGTGCCCCTCACCCCTCCACTTCCTGGCTCCCGAAGGCCAGTCCCACGGCTGCGGTTTAGTACCCAACCCAACCTCCTGCCATGCTGCTGTGTTCCAGTCAAGCAAAGCTGGGCTGTTCCGGCCTCCTAGACCCGTGAGCATGCTGCCTCCACGCCTTTGCACTAGCTGGTCCCTCTGCCTGGAAAACCTTTCCCCTCAGCTCACTGTGCGGTCCATGTCGCCTGTCCAGGCTCTGCCCTAAAGCCACTGGCTCTGTGAAGCCCTCCGCACCCCCCATGCAGGCGACTTCCCCAGCCTCCTCTGGGTCCTGCACACCCACCTGTCTCCACACCAGACTCGGGCTTCTCAGGGCTGGGGCCCAGCAGTGTCCTCCCCATGTCCCCAGAGCCCAGCCGGGTCAGGCAGGCTGTGGCGCATAGTAAGAAACACGTTTTACCTTGGAGTACTCACAAAACCAAGTACCTAAGACCTGAGTACTGACTTCCTTACCTTTGCTCCCTGTGAGGCACTTTCCTATTGGCTGCTTTTATTCCAGTCTCCTTTACTTTCCTTTACTCAATTCTATTCTTCTCTTTTCCTACTTCAGTTTCTTTCTTTTTTTTTTTTTTAAATATAATGCTGGTCTTGATGCACTGAATTGATTTCTTGACCCACATGCGCCACAGCTCACAGTTGGAAAAATAACCTTAAGAAGAGGGCTTAAGCTAGTCTTAAGCCGTCTTCTGCCCTCCAAGTGCCACCTGTCCCCTACCCCACGACACCACACCTTTCGCTGTCTCATGACTTCCTTAAGGACTGGTCTGTGTCACCATCTCCAAGAAGCCCCCTGGACTGCCCAGGGCCCAGGCTCTTCAGGCCTCTGCTTCCAGGGGCGGCCCTGACTTCTCTGGCATAACCACCTGCTTACACACCTTTCTCCACCTCAAAAGTCACCCCTTGGAGACCAGCCACCGTGTCTGCCCTGTTCCCTGTTGTGACTCAGCATCCAGTATGGCAGAGGCTTGGTAATGCCGGAAGCAATCAGTCAATCAACAAATCCATGAAGGTTATGACACTAACTCCACAAAACTAGGAATGGCTCTTACCCCCTGCTGGAGTCCAGGTACTTGCTACACTCATTTCCTATATGTCACCAAGAATCAAGCCCTTTGCTTTCACCCCACAAGCAGCACTTGAATCAGAGCTCAAAATCCAGGGCAAAGCTGGCCCGCTGAGTGCCTTGGGCTGGCTACTTACTGTCTCTGAGCCACAGACTGGAGACTTAGCAGAACTAGCACAAGGGCTGTTGTGAGATCAAAGGCAAGGCCATTGTCAAGTGCTCAGCCCAGGGTCTGACATGGACAGAGGACCCCCATCGTGGCCACATGCAGCCCAGGCGGCCCCAGGAGGGAAGGCACCCAAGTGTACTTACTTTTCAGCCCATCCACATCGCAGAGCTGCTCCAGGACCTCCAGGGCTCCCTGCTCCCCAGGTCCCAGAGAGGTCACCAGCCCCACAGGCAGTCCGTGTGCCTTGAAAGTCTCGGCCAGCTGCCGGGCTGTGGCCACCCAGATGTCCTCGTGGGAGGACACGATGGCTGAGTGAGCCCAGCCAAAGTGTCTCGTGATGGACAGGAGCACATGGGCAGCGGACGGCAGGGTGGGTGCCAGTTCGCCTCCTCCCTCGGGAGCCCCTGCATGCCCAGGAGAAGAGGGTCTTGCCCCCGCTCCGGGCCAGCAGGGCTGCCACTGGGCAGTAACCAGGATTGACAGGGCCCACAAAAGCATCCACAGTATCCCTGTGGGCCAAGAATGTGGTCAGCACGCAGAGGGTGTCGCAGCCTGTAGGGAGGATCACAGAAGCCAGCCGTGAGCCCGGCAGCAGTGAGGGGTCCTGGTTGGCCCGGTCCACAGCCAGCTGCACAGCCTCACCAGGGAGGGCCTGGGCAAAGATGGCGCCACAATCCCAGGGACCCAGCACCCTCAGGATGAAGGTCCTTGCCCCCTGGGTCAGATGGGGGAGGGAGCTGACCCACAGGAGGGCACTCCACAGCACCACAGAGAAAAGTGGCAGGTCAGGGGCTTTCCTCGGATGACTGAGGGTGGAGCCCCGCCGGTTCTGGCAGGGCAGGTAGGTCTTCTGGGACGGTAGCATCCGGGTACCCGCCTTCAGGGCTTGAGCCCCCATGCAGTCCTAGGAAAGGGGGGAATAAGGACAAGGTTTGTTTTCCAGCATTTTCTGCCAGCACTTCCTGTATGATTGTGAGGCAGACACCCCTTCCCAGAGCCTCACTGGTAAAATGAGGAACTTGGACCCACGATCCCTGAAGACACCCCAGCTGTGGGGCCTGACATCCTCCGCAGAACTGGCTCATGGTCTTGTGATGCCCATGCCAAGTCCTGGGCAGGAGTTTCTTGCTCAGCATATGGGCTATGGGGTCAGAGCTGGCAGGCCCCACCCCCTGTTTCCTGTCCAAGTGACCCTGGGCCATCCTCGGAAGCGTTGTGAGCCTCATTTTCCCACTCTATAAAATATGGGTGACGGGTCAGGCAAGGTGGCTCACACCTGTAATCCCAGCACTTTGGGAGACTGAGACGAGAGGATTGCTTGAGCCCAGGAGTTTGAGACCAGCCTGGTCACCATAGCAAGACCTCATCTCAACAAAATATCAAAAAATTAGCTGAGTGTGGCAGTGCACACCTGTGGTCCTAGCTATTCGGGGGGCTGAGGTGGAAGAATCACGTGAGCCCAGGTGGTTGAGGCTGTCATGAGCCGTAACCACCGCGATCACGCCACTGCACTCCAGACTGGGCAACACAGCAAGACCCTGACTCAAACATGTGGACAATAAAACCTACTTTATAGAGTTCTTGTGATGCTTAAAAGACATCTTGTGAAGCATTATCACAGTCCTGGTACTCAGGTGTTCAGTAAATTCTTCCTCTTTCAATCTTCTACCGGCATTTCTTTCTCTACTCCTCCTCCTGGGTGGGCCAAGTTCTCGGGATGCTGCTCAGAGCCTCCCCTCCCCTGTCCCTCCAAGCCCAGCACCAGCCTATGGCCTGGACTCTGCTGGACTCACCAAGCCCTGGTGATTTAACACACACTAGGTATGGGGGCTCCCCTGCCGGGTGCTCATGGGAGTCGTGGCTGGAGGGTTTACGGCACTCACGTACCTCTTCTCTGCTCTCCCTCACAGACTTGTCCAGACAGAGCTCTTTCTCTGTCCACTGTACAGATGTAGAAACTAAGGGGCCTGGCATGCAGTGAGGAGCAGATAGGATTTGACTAAAGTTCCTTCAGCTCATGCCACTCACACATGACCTCCTTGACCAGGACACTTGGACTGTGGCATTCCCTGCCTTCTCCCGTCCTGATGCCCACCCTGAGGCCCTGGAACTCCTGCCTGGCCTCTGCCTGCCTCCCTGTGTCTACCCACTGTCCACCCACAGTCCTCTGCCATCTTTCTCCACACCCCACGTGTATGGTCAGTATTCTACCCTGTGGGTGCCCCAGAAAGAAAAAGATCCTATCCCATGCCCTTAAGAAACTGCCTGACCAGCAGGGAGGCAGGCCCCGACCAAGAGCAGGGCTGGCCACCTGTGTGGCAGTGGGCAGAAGGACCAGTGGGGAGGCGCTATGGGCTGAGGAGGAGATCACGGAGGGCTTCCCAGAGGAGGCAGAGCTAGAGCCAACCCTACACTTGGAAATGTGGATCAGGAGAGCAGGAGGGTGCTCTCTGAATGCTAGCGGTGGGGGTCTGTGCAGGGCAGCTCCTTACAAATTGTGTTCCGTGCAAGGAATAGAAAGGCCTGGAAATCACACAGAAGAATCATCCCTATTTTATCACTCACTAGCCCCCTACATGTGGGCAAGATGCTGAACTTCTCTGAGCCTCGGTTTCCTCACCTGTAAAACCAAGGTGAAAACAGCTACCTGGTAGAGTTGTTGTGAAAATGAAAACGTTAAGATTCCTACAGTGGGAATAAGTAGGTGCTAACTAAATCAGGTTGTTTTCTCTATATCATCACCATTATCATTGCCATCGCCACCATCCTTAGCTCCTTGAGAGCTGGACAGGAGGTGGGAGGCCTGAATTCAGTCCCAGGCCTTCCCCTGTCCACTCCAGGCCTCAGCTTCCCAACTATAAAAGGAACCAGTTCGCAGGGCTGGCCGACCCTGAGCCCTCCCGACCTGTAATCCCATGGTCCTCCTGGATCAAGCCTCGATGTCCTGGCAAGTGCTGCTCTTCTGCCAGCCTCTGGAACCTCCTTCTCCTGCTGCCATGATGCTCAAAGTGGTCTCCTAGCAGCCAGGATGAGTCCCCACCCACCCCTGGAGACACTCCCCCAGAGCCACTGGGCGAGTTCTAGACCCGAGAGAGTTGGACGTCTTCAGCTGGGTACGTGATCGTACGCTGCGGATGATGCCAGCCACCTCTCCTCGCAGTGGACACTTTCCAAAGCTTTGCCTGGTCCTCCCAGAGGCCCTGAGAGGAGACTTCTTAACCCCTCTCTTCAGAGGAGAAAACTGTGACTCTGGGCAGGAAGTAACTTACCCAAAGTCTCACCAAAAGTTAGGACGAGATCGTGCCTGGAGCCTAAAAGACTTGACTTCCTGCCTCCTAGCCAAAGGCGAAAATCACCTATTTTATTGACACCTGGAACATCAGAACTGAAGGATCCTGTGTACACATGGGGAAATCAGGGCACACAAAAGAGTGTGGGTATCCCTTGGTCCCACAAAGCTGCAGCAGGCTTCCCTGGCCTGAGGTCCTCCTGGCCATGCTCAGTTTCCCAAAATTCTGCCGCTGATGACCTGCAGGGGCTCACAGAGGGCTGACTCCCTTAGCAGACCAGCATTAGGCCAAAGTAGTGAGCTAGCTTTGCTGCTGATTTATGGGACAGAGTCCACACCCCTTTTCTGTGCCTCAGTTTTCCCAGGCGTACAGGGAGAGCTTAGTTTAGACGCTCCCTTCAGCTCTGGTATTCTTTGTTAATAAGAATCAGGAGACAGGTGGTTGTTGTCTCTGTAGCTGGCCACGTCCTTCTCCCCACCCTCCCCCAGGAGTGTGTGAGCTCTCTGCGCCTCCACCCCTGGGCACCACAGACTCCTGGGGGGAAGGGGCGTTCATATTTTTATACTCAGGGAGATGGGACCTAAGGATTAATCACTGATTGACTGACCAACTCCACAGTACCATAACCCCCAAAGCTGAAGATGCTTCTAGTTTCATTAACAGACAAATGACCAAAATACAGAAGGCAAGAGAAATCCAAGGAACGAGCAGGGGTCTCATAGGGACTAAAATGACTTTATTTTAAATGCTAATCCACCATGTAACTGCTGACTAACCTGAGTTCAGGCATGCCCCCAAAGCATCTGGTTGATGCATTATTCTTTGTGTAGGAGCACTTATTCCTTGTACGTTTCCTCCGAAACAACGCTTATTGTTCTGGAAATCATAGGCTGTGACACCCGTAGCCACCTGTCCATTCTTTCCAGGGCATTATGCTTCTCCCAAGATATAAGCCCTGCATCTGGGGGTTTGTGTATAGAGATCGGCCATCTTGCAGCCACCCACGACCATGTTCCTGTCTGCAAATCCCTCTAATAAATCCCCGAAAACTGACCAACTGGATCTGGCTGCCTCCTTCTTTGGTTTCTCGGCTTCTTCTGCATTTCGAGTTGCTTTGTATATGTGACCCTTTCATGGAACAGGGTTCCTGTCAGAGTCAGAGCCCCTCCAGTCCCGGCAGCTGAGAGCCAGCCTCTTGACCCCAGTCTGGTCCCTCTTGGCTTCCTTCAGGAAAAACTCCCAGACCCACCTGCCATGCTGTGCTGTTGTGGCTGACTTGTGGCCTCTCACAGACCCTATGGTTCCTGCACTAGGGTCCTCAGACGCCAGGCTTTCAGAGCAGGCTGTCTGGGGATGCCAGGCTCTCAGAGCAGGCTCTGCCTGGGGGTGCTGCTCCCACCACAGTACTTTCGCCTGCTGCCTGTCCACCTCCCGACTCCTGCTTGGGGAATGCCTTCTACAGGGCTTGTTCCCTCCTGTCCCCCTCAGGTGCCTGGAGAAGCCACCTGGAAAATTGAATCTGTTCAGACCCTGGGGCTCTGGGGAGTCACAGGCAGAAAAGGAGGAGGGAAGGAAGGAGAGAGGGTCAGACACAGGAGGGGGCGGGGAAGGGAGAGGATACCTTTGGCCCTCCAGACAGCACCAGGCCGGGCTGGGGCTCCCGGGAGGAAGGACAGACAAAGAAAGCAGCATTACTAAGCACCCACTATGTGCCAGTCCTATGCTGGGCACAATTTGTATGACCCACTGAGATGGGTATTGTTATTATTCTCACTTTAGAAATAAAGAAAGCATGGCTCAGAGGCGTTGGGTAATTAGGCCAAGGAAACAGAGCTCATTGGTGGCAGGGCTAACTCTAGATCCGGGCTTCTGACCATCACACCACACTGAAACCTTGAGAGTTAGAAATGGAGGTCTTCTTTCTTTCTGCATTTTTTATTGATATAGTATAGTTGTACATATTTTGGAGGTACACATGATGCTTTGGTACATGTATACAGTGTATAATCAAGTCAGGATAACTGGGATATCCATCACTTCAAACATTTATATTTTCTTTCTTTTTCTCTTTTTTTTTTTTTGAGTTGGGGTCTCACTCTGTCTCCCAGGCTGGAGTGCAGTGGCACACTCATGGTTACTGCAGCCTCTACCTTCTGGGCTTAGACGATCCTTCTGTCTCAGCCACCCGTGTAGCTGGAACGACAGGTATGTGTCACCACGCCCACATTTGTCTTTCCTTTGTGTTAGGAACTTTTCAATTCTTCTATTTTGAAATACACACTAATTATTGTTAGCTATCATTTCCCTATTGCACTGTTGAACACTAGACCCTATTCCTTCTACCTAACTATATTTTTGTAACTTTCTTTTTTTTTTTTTGAATTGAAGTCTCACTCCATTGCCCAGGCTGGAGTGCAGTAACACGCTCCCGGCCACCGCAGCCTCGACCCGCTGGGCTCCAGCGATCCTTCCTCCTCAGCCTTCTGAGTAGCCGGAATATAGACACGCACTACCACGTCCGGCTAATTTTTTTCATTTACTGTAGAGACGAGGTCTCACCAAGTTGCCCGGGTAGGTCTCGAACCCGTGGGCTCAGGCAATCCACTTG